TCGGTCCAGTGCCGCGGCCGCGGCCACATCCCAGGCCGCGGCCTGATCTTCCGCTGAGCCGTGCCCTAATGCCTCCGGATATGGCCCAAGCTCCGTCAGAAACCTCTCAGGGTCCATCAGGAGCCTGGGACGGAACCATCTAAGTGGTTCCGTCTCCCTGCGGCGTGGGGAAGCGGTCCGGAAGTCCATCCTCAGGAGTACATGATCTGACCATGACAAGGGCTCTATGACTATCTCCCCCGTTTCCAGATCATTTTGCCACTGGCCAGAGACAAAAATCAGATCCAGTGTGTGACCTCCTATGTGAGTGGGTGCATGAACTAATTGGGTCAAGTCCATGCATTTTGAACATATTTGATTTTAGTTTGATATACTGAAGGGACCAAGACAGCATTTTTTAAATTCAGTGAAAGATACTAGTAAAATATATTTCATTCCCAGCCTGCCTTTGCTAGCTAGGTTTGTTTCCATAATTTTTACCTCATGAGAAACTGATTTATGACAGTGTGATACAACATCGTAGTGAGTCGTTATGTTAGCAACCCCTATGAAGCATCTTATAGTGAAGGCACAATTCCATTTTAAGCAGATTCAACCAGTGGTGGGATTCAGCTTGTTCGCACCACTTTGGCAAAACCGGTAGCTAATTTTTTGTTGCCAAGGCCCAGAATGGACTTCTGGAAGTGGCATCCACACAGAGAACTGGTTGTTCACATATTTGAATCCCACCACTGGATTCAACGTTAGTCAAACATCATATCTGAAAAACAGCTTTTGATTCATGTTCTCCTTGGGAAGGAGAAGCAGGAAAACCATTTTATTTCAGGAGTCTTCTTGGTTTAAGAAAGCTCAAAACAAAAAATATGTTGCACTTTGTTTGAATCTCCTTTGGTTTAACAGATACCCAAGCAACAAACCTGCTGCAGCTCCTGTGAAGCATCTTATAACCAAATACAGAATTCAACTATTACAACTAAAGTTTCCAGCTCAGATATAACATTTCAAAAACACCTGTGATTCTGAAGAATGTTAGTGGTGGAATTCTACATTTCTCATCAGATGCTTTCAAAGGGATTGCTAGCATGAGGCCACTCTCTGATTTTATCTCAAATTAAAAAAATATCAGACTGTATCTAGGTGACAATTCTGAACTTGGATTGGATTCCTAAAGTGACAATGTAGCTAACTTTTCCCCTGTTGGTTCTTCTTATTTGGTGACATGCAGCAAATAACAAAGATTGATTGTTTCAATCTCTTCTAAGTCAAAGACAAATTCATGAAACCTGATTTTAGTACTTTTCCTGATTTTCCTTGCTAGGGAAACATGACCTATGTGTCAGAACCCATTCCTATTTCATTTCTACCTATCCCCTCTGACCTAAAAACAAATCTCACACGTTCAAACTCAGTACTTGAGCAATACTTAAGGTGCATTATTAATTTCCAGCAAACGTATTGTACGGACCTACTCCCTTTCGCAGAAGTTGTTTACAATAATGCAGTCCACTCCAGCACAGACTAAACTCCCTTTCAAGTAGTCACCGGTCAAAGTTTCAACCCTATGCCAGAACTGCCCCCAAACGAACCAACAATCCCATCGCTGAAAGAATGGATATCACAATTACAAAACACCTGGCCAGTGGTTAGGAAAGCCTTAGACGAAGCTAGGCAAGCATACAAAGCACAAGCGGATAAAAAAAGAGTCAAACCTATACCATTCACTGTAGGAGAGGAGAAACCCAGTGAGAGCTTGACCCAGAGCCAGAAGAGTTAAGGCTTGTGGCTTGTTGTGGTTTGTGGTGGTAGCAGGCAACATGGACTCCATCAGCGTAATGGGAGGAGGTTTCGTAGTATCTCGTCTGAATGAAATAAACTACCTCTCCTGGTGTTTGAAAATGGAGATGTACTTGCGAAGGGAGGAGTTGTGGATGATAGTTGTTGATCCACCTGCAGCCCTGGACAATGGGGATTGGAGAAAGAATGAGAAAGCATTGGCCAGCATAATCCTGAGTTTGGAGGATATCCAGCTGATAAACGTGAGGGGTCTCCAGTCTGCTAAGAGTGCTGGGAAGCTTTGCACAGTGTGTACATGAGAGAGACTGCGAGCAACAAAGTAATGCTGACAAGAAAACTATATATGGCCCAGCTGAAACCAGGAGAGAGCATGTCTACTCATTTGCAGTCCATGAGAAAGACATTCCTAGAGTTAGATGAAAGAGGAATGACTTTTACTGAGCCACATAAGGTGTATGTGGTGCTCAGTTCATTGGACACTTCATGGGACATTCTAGTGACCAGTTTAGAGGCCATGCAAGAGAGGGACTTAACCATGAGTTATTTGACTGGCCAGTTGCTGGAGGAGGAACAGAAACGGCTGGAAAGGCAGGAGAGAGGGGGTGACGATGCACAGACCAGGCCTAAAACTGCAACGTCCAAAGATGCCAGCAGAGCAGGCGAAAATGTTTGCATGGTGAAACGCTGCTACACGTGTGGTTCTACAGAGCATCTCCAGAGACACAACCCTGAGAGGAGAAACAGAAGAACAGCGAAACATGATCATAGAACTACACAACCAACATTTTCCCTGGCAGCAACTTTAACAGGAAAAAAACACTTGGGTGTTGGACAGTGGGGTGAGTCAGCATATTATAAATGACCCACAAATGTTTTTAAATCTAAGACCAGCTAAACAAACATTTGTTAGCTTGGCTAATGGACAACAGTCTGCTGTTAAAGGGGAAGGTAAGTTTATGTACCTGGTATTGGAGAAACTTTGGATAATGTATTATATGTACCAGAGTTAGACCATAATTTACTCAGTATTTCGAGCTTAAATAATATGGGGTATAAAGTAATGTTTGCAAAGGGTCAATACTCTATCAGGAAAAGTGGGAGGATTTGTGCACAAGGTGTTAAGCTAGACAATTTATACATGTTAGAGAAGAAGCAGGATGGTTGTACACGAACATTTACAAACACTCCCACACATAATAATTGCATACATTTATTGCATAGGAGGTTAGGTCATGCATGTTTTAGAGTGCTGCAAAGGATACCAGACCTAGCTGAAGGACTACACATTAAACAATGCAACACATATTTAGATTGTGCTATTTTTAAGGAGTCAAAGTCCAGAGTGTATCCTGTAAGTAAAAAAAGCCCAAGGCAAACAAACAGAGTTTTGCAGTTAGTGCATGCTGATTTAGTTGGTCCTATGGCGTCCTCTCTAGGTAAGTACTAATCTTACTAAATGACTACACCAGATATGGGTTTTGTTATTTATTACAGAGCAAAACAGAAGTTCTACAACAGTTCAGGCAATGGGTAACCTTTGTAGAGCGAAGATATGGCCATAAAGTATGCCAGCTGCAAACAGACAGGGGAACAGAGTTCAGGTCTGACAACTTCCAAAAGTGGCTGAGGAACTTAGGCATAAGGCATAGACGTATGAACCCATACTCACCAGCAGAAAATTGTGTGGCTGAACGGAGGAATGGTGTATTGCAAACCATGAAAGACTCATTGCTGGCAGATGCAGGAATGCGTAAAACATAGTGGGGGGAATGAGTAAAATGTAAAGGCATGAAAACAGTCAACTATCTGATAAACAGGGTATGGAGTGTTGCCATCAATGAAACTCTGTATTACCTATTATATGGAAGGAAACCTTCATTGGCTCACCTAAGGACATCTGGCAGTTATGCCTGGGTGCATATTCCCAAAAGCACCAGAAGGAAAGGACAGAAAAAGGTTTGTTGGATATGAGCCAGGTTTCAAAGGGTACAGATTCACAAATGGAACAAAGAAGGTTGTGATTTCAAGGTCTGCTAGTTTTGCAGAACAAAACAATTGGGACAGGGTGCATGCTAACACTGAAGTGTTCATGCCAACACATAGCTCCAGTTCTCAGGAAGGAGAGACTACACAAAGCCCAATGATGGAAAAACAGAATAGCAGGTCAGAAACAGTAGAAATAGAAGAGGATAAACCTGAGGTAAAGAGAGAAGTCACAGAAACACAGGAACAGATTATACCGAGGAGGTCTGAACGTAGCAATAAAGGCGTACCTCCTGATCGGTTCTCAGCAAGTGGGGTTAGAGCATATAGTGTAAGGTATGAACCCTGTAATTACCAAGAGATGTTATCATTGCCTAAAGTAAAACAGGATAAATGAAAGGAGACTATGGACAGAGAAATGGAGTCTATGAATGTGCGTCAGATGTTTACCCTTATGAGATTAACAGAAAGACAAAAGGCCGTGGGGTGTAAATGGCTATTTAAAAAGAAGGTTTTACACAATAATGAACTGCAGTATAATGCACAGTTAGTTGCACAAGGATTTACACAGAGAAGGAATATTCATATGTTGACTAAGCCTTTAAATGCAGGCAAGCATCAAGAATGTGTAAAAGTATTTGGGTTAACAGCTGTTTAGCTTTAAATGGGAGGAGTGTCAAGGTAATGATTTAATAGCTAACCAGCTTATGTAATGTAAGATGTATGATATAATGATGGGAATGACTCAGCAGGGTCTATGTCCCTTTAAGAGCCAGCTAGGTCTGTGTCTCTTTATGAGCCTTTGTGTAAAAGGAAGGCTTGTTCTCTCTCTTCCATTTTCCTTCTGTAACTGTGGTGTGTTGGATCCTGCTATATTAGCATGTGTATGTATATTGTTCCTGGTGTATGATATTGTAGATAGTGTAAGATAAACCACCATTTAACATAGACCACTATTTACTAAGTTTACTCCTGGGTTATCTCATGCAATAAGACTGCATGCTCTGACACTTATTTGTTTTATCATTTGCTGAAAGTATTTATAAGACTGATTAATATCATTTCATAAATCGAAATTTTGCCAAAATGGCATGAGTTGATGTCCATAATTGTTGTTTTCCAATATTTTAGTACAATGTTTATAAACTCCAGTCCTTCTCATCCTATTTTGTGTTGTTTTAGGTTGCGTGGCAGCTTTTGTCCAATTTCCCTCTCCACATATTTTCCTGGATGTTCTTTCTTACAAAGTGACTGAAGGAGATTCTCTCAAGATAGCGTGTTTGGCCCCCAGTAAATATGTGGATGGTTGGGTTTTTTTGTTCAAGAATAATGAATCCAAGGCCCTGAAGACTTTGCCTGCTCTAGAGGCTGAGCATAATGTTACCTTCCTTCTGGAAAATGTCAAGACTAGAGATGGGGGCTGGTATAGATGCCAGTATAGGTTCTACAATGGAAGCCAGTTGCAGGAGTCTGAATTTAGCCGGGTGCTGGAGATTACAGTGAAGGGTAAGTGTTTCTCAAACAATGTGAGAAAGTGTTTGGGAGGCAGGATGGGCAAGAGCTGTGCTCTGTTTGGAAATCATTATTCCCATTTTTAATGTAAAGTGAAATTGATATAACGAGCCCTCATTTAACAAATGTTGGATGGAATATCACAAATTTGCATTCAGACTTAACACCTGAAATAATAGATAAGTCTTTTTTTAATGAAGTTTGTCCAGACAACAGAGGGTCTTTTTTTCATTATTTATGGGAGTGTTTTGTACATCTTTTACATAATTATTCAATTGTTATTTTATGTCATTGGGGTCAATGTGTCATTTGCATAAAAACATCAATTATATAATTACTCTATGTAAATTACATTAATTACATCAGTTTAGATTTAATAAACATTTGTATTTAATGGACACTCTTTTACCCCAAACGATCTGTTAAATTATAAGGTTTTATGGTAAATTATTTTTATTTTATTTTTTTTCAACAAAATTTTATTGGTTTTTATTTAATATGGTGGCAAGGCCATCAATTAATCAAAACAAAATCATACTTATACAATTCAAATTATTTCAATATAATTAACTCAGTTATACGTATGAATAATCTATTATTATTTTAATGTATCCTACTTCCCCCTTAAATCAATACTATTAACTCTATTTCTATACTCCCTCCCACCCCCATCCCCCCTAACCCCCCCAGACTTCCCAGAACTGATTACAGGATTAAGCATTCATCTTCCCAAATCTATATAAAACTACCCAATATAAACTAATCTAATATAAACATACTTTAACTCATAAAAAGATAATCAAATATAAGCTAGTATAATCTATCTAAATATAGCCAATCCATCCTCACCAATCCCTTAATCATACAAGAAACTTTGCCATATCTTCAATTTATCAATTATATATAATACATTCCATCACCCCTACGATTATATATAATATACCATCACCCCTACAATTAATGCCATAATCAAATATTTATGATCTTTTAAAATAATAAGAAAAAAGGATATATCAGTTTTATTAATCTAAACCATCATTATTAATTTTTTTTCTCTAAACAAAACCCTATATAATTTCATTACAAGATAATAAACAGTAATGTATCTCCACTGCTTCCCTTGATATACAATACTATAATTTTCCATATATAAATATTTCTTTAAAATTACATCCCAAAGTGTTAATTAATCATATCAAAAGTAACATCTCTTAGCCACTAAAATTCAGAAACCCCTTATAATTCCACAATTCCACCGATATATCCCATTTCCTCCTCCAAGAATTCTTTAAAATTAATCCCTTAATATCTCAAACAAAAGAACCTGTATAATTTCATTACAAGATACTCTTAAGAAATAAGCAATAATATCCCCCAACTGCTTCCCTTGAAATGCAATACCATAATTTTCCATTTCTATAAGTATTTCTTTAAAATTACATCCCAAAGTCACAGCTAAGTCCATCACTGTCTCTTCTCTGTATCCTTGTAAATTTTCTTTAGTTGTTTCCAATCCAATTTCCGCTTTTGCAGCTATTTCTTCCACTTCTCCCTCCTTCCATAAAGAAAAATCCAAATCTTCCTCTTGAATCATTTCCAGTCCAATTTCCACTTTTACAGGCTCCGCTTTTTCCTCCATTCCGACCTCTATGTAATCTGCAATACCATGCAAAGCAGATATTATATTTCAAAACCTTTTATAAATCTTCAAACGAAGCCATCGGTGAGGATAAAGAGGAGATGAATTCAGAATTAGACTGTTGAAAATCTTTAAACAAAGCGGAAGTTCCATTAAACAAAGCCATTTTTCAAGCTTCTTTAATCCAAGCCTCGGAGAGAAAAAAGAGGGGGGAAAAAATCCAAAATCCAAATCCAGAATTCTCTCCATTAAAAGAAAAAAAAATAGTCCCCAAACTTTCCATAAACCCCCAAAAATATGTCAATGTTACAACCCTAAGCCAAGGGGTAACAATTTCCCTCTTCATTCAGCGCTGCAGGAAAGTGAAAGTTAAAAAGGAAAATCACTCTCATCTATAGAGAAACGGCAAACCGCAGCCATTTTTTTTTCCTCATTTCAACTTAACTTTAAAGAAGATGTTAATAAATTGAGTTAAAGTCTTAAGTTACTCAAGTCCAGTTTCCCCTGGTCAGTTCCGTCTGCTTATTTTTTGCTCACAATTCTCTATAATTTGCAGAAGTGGAGGCAATGACTGGCTTTGTTCCCAAAAGAAGGGAACAAAGGCGCTTGGGAGACGGAGATTTCCCGGACTCCGGAGGAGTACCCAATTTCGCTCTCCCAAAATAAGGGGAGAGCTTTTGGGACTCTACTCCTATCCAGGAATACTCACCTCGACCCCTTCGCCCGGGGCACAAGGTTCCAAGCCGCTGAACAGCTGTTGGCCGCTGTTCATGCTGGCTCTGACGCCTTCCCAAGGGGACGGCTCCGAAAGAGCCGCCATCGGCACGCCGTCCCACCGGAAGTCTCCCCGTTTTATGGTAAATTATTGATGGCAGGAATAGCTAATGTTTTCTTGCCTGGCTGATCTACAAAGCTAAGAGCCCCAGTTTCTCCCTTGAACATTTCAAAAACAAAAATATGGTCCAAATTCTTGAACTGTACCCCTGCAGCACCCAAGCAGGATAGAAACTCATGCTGCAGCTCCAGGTCAAAGCACTTTTTTTCCTACTACAGGTAAACCTTGACTTCCAACAGTTCATTTAGTGACCATAAAAGTCATAAAATGAGCAAAACTGACAACAAATGTCTTGCTTAGCAACATAAATTTTGGGCCCAATTGTGGTCATAAGTCAATGACTATTTGTACACAAAATTTAAATGAAGAAATAATATATCTTTACAATGCTGGCCCTTTTCTGTACCTTCAAGTCAGTCTTTGCTCCTAGTGGCTGTCTGGACAAGTCCCGCAGTTTTCTTAGCAAGATTTCAGAAGTGGTTTCCACTGCCTTCCAAAGTTACCCAGACGGCTGGTTTTATGCCTAAGGCAGAACCAGAACTCATGGTCTCTCAGTTTCCAGCCTGGTACCCTAACATGGGCATATTATTCTGTGGAATCGAGGGTAGTACCTAGTCCTCTCACCTTGAATTTCCTTTTTCTTTTCCTTCTTTCCTTCTTTCCTTCTTTCCTTCTTTCCTTCCTTCCTTCCTCCCTCCCTCCCTCCCTTCCCCATCTGATCCTCCAAGGGTAAGTACTACAGCACAGGCTTTCCTTGCCAACAATAGCTTTCCCCACTTTGGGGCTTCCAGGCGTGTTGGACTTTCCTCAGCTCCCTTCCTTCCTACCCAGAAGCAACAAAAAGGATGTCCAGCTTGGCAAAAGTATCCTCTCTGAAAAGTGACCAAGTGTTGGAGAAACAGATTTGAGGACATGCCATGTTGGGCTGTCTGGCTTTAGCTTGGCAGAAGCTATCTAGACATTGGACATTTTCTCCCACCTTTCTTGTGGTTTAAAGGCTATCCACCCTTGGTTTTTTCAGTTCTGGAGGTAAGCAGTTGTTGGGCATTGATATAGCCAATGTTTCTGACCAGGAAATTTCCAGCTCCCAATATAATTTCCACAAGCAGGACCGCCATGGGAAAGATGGATACTTACTAAAATGCATAGGAGGAAATTACTGCATCTGAATGCATAGATCTTTTTAACATTTATATTTTATTGTGTTCTACTAATCTAGATGAAATATTAATATATATTGCTAGTCCATGTATGATATGCTATATGCTAAATAAATAAATAAATAAATACTGCATTTGGGTTAGAATTGGGGCTGGAGAAGCAGAGAGTGACTGGAAAGAGAAAGAGGAACCTTCTGTCTTTCTCTATTACCCCTAAAGGAAAGAAAGGATAAGGATGCACTCCTGTTTTACTACTTTCTATAACTGTATCTGATCTTTCCTCTATTTCCAGGTACAGCCTGGTTTCTCCCCATTGCCCTTTGTGTCATTGGAGTGCTGCTTTTGGTTCTGATCCTGTCTGCAGCTGTGGGCACAACTGCATACTGTAGGTGGAATGCAGGGACTGGGCGTCTGTTTTAGACTGGCTACTACAGATGCTGCCTAGGGTGGAGAATTCTGGGACACTCTTCTTTCATGTTTAGCCTTTTGACACATACCTGAAGAACAATTCAGCCAAAGCAGCTGTTCTCTGTGACTGCACATCCTACAGGCTTTGTCACCCAATGAGTAGCAATGCATTTGACAAAAGGCTAAATGTAAAAAAAAAAGAGTGAGAAAAAGAAAAGGATGAATGTTCCCCCTCAGTGGCTGCCGACTTTTAAACTGAATAATAATATTTTTGCCTTTCAGCAGGAAATGACCATCCTTAGCTCATTCTTTTAAAATAGAGATTTTGGATAATTACTGTCTGTCTATGACAGAGAAATGTTTTCTTTATTATCTTCCCATGCCTTTTACAGGATGATTTTTCTACTGTTCATAATAATAATTTTAAAGAACCAGTTACAAATGAGGGAATAGAAGGGGAGTTTATCAAATTTGTAGATGACGCTAAGCTGGTAGGAATAGCCAACACTCTGATAGGCTCAAGATCCAGAGGGATCTTGACAGACTTGAACACTGAGCCCTATCTAACAAAATGAAATTCAGCATAGAGAAAAGTAAAGTCTTACACTTAGGCAAGAAAAACCAAACATACAGGTACAGATTAGGTGAAACCTAGCTTAATAGTGATAACTTTGAGAAGGATCTTGGAGTCCTAGTGGACAATCAATTAAATACGAGCCAGCAGTGTGCGACAGCAGTCCAAAAAGCCAACTCTATCCTAAGTTTCATTAACATCAAGATCACGTGAGGTACTAGTACTGCTGTATAACACTTTAGTAAGGCCACACCTAGAATACTGCATCCAGTTTAGGTCACCAGACTATTAAAAAAGTAAGAGTAAGAAAGAATGAAGAGAAGAGCAAGAGACTGGACAGCCATTTGTCAGAAATGGTATAGGGTCTTCTGCTTGAGCAGGGGATTGGACAAGATAAACTATAAGGTCCCTTCCAATTCCGTTATTCTGTATTCTACAGCAGTATCTGGTTCAGTGTGGACTGTCAGGAATTTAATTATTTCCTACGTATTACTAATTATTCAAATATTATTATCTGTGAGAAAGGAAGAGGTTTTAATTACTGGATTATCTCTTTGTAGCCAGGTAAACAATTATTTATTTGTAACATGCTTTAATTATTATGTTTCTGTTACACTTTAAATGTGATTTAAAAGAAACATATTTATAAAATACAGGAGAGAAATGGAGTGCAAACTTATCTAGGGGGCAAATATTTGATCTGTACAAGGGCCAAGCCAAAAATTCTTCCAAGTCAAGAAAATCTTGAAAATGATTGAAAGGCAAATTTGTGTATCCCTGTGGGAAGCTAGAAGGTGGGGGAGGAGATATGGTAGAGATAGACCATTTCCCCATGGGTGGGACAGCATCCTGGAATCATTGTAAAGCAAAGTAGTATCAGGCATAGGAACAAAAGAAAGTCTTAAATAGTGAGACACACTCAGAGCACATTGTTGTTAGATTTTCCATTGATCTCTCTCCAAATGGATGTGCCAGGCTTTTGTCTCACAGTATTTCAGAATCAGAATCAAAATAGAGCTGGAAGGGACCTTGGAGGTCTTCTAGTCCAGCCACCTGCTCAAGCCTATACCATTTCAGACAAATGACTGTCCAGTCTCTTCTTAAAAACCTGCAGTGTTGTTTAACTATAAAAATCAATAAAAAATTTATGAAAAAAAAAACCTGCAGTGATGAAGCACCTGCAACATCTGAAGGCAAGCTGTTCCACTGGTTAATTGTCCTCGCTGTTAGGAAGTTTCTCCTTAATTCCAGGTTGCTTCTCTCCTTGATTAGTTTCCATCCATTGTTTCTTGTCCTGCCCTCTGATGCTTTGGAAAATAAACTGACCCCTTCCTCTTTGTGGCAATCTCTCAAATACTTGAATACTGCTATCATGTCACCCTAGTCCTTCTTTTCTCTAACTAGCCAAATATAAATCCTGCAACTGTTCTTCTTATGTTTTAGTCTCTGGGCCTTGGATCATCTTAGTTGCTCTTCTTTGCACATTTCCCAAGTTTTTTTTGTAATGTGACCAAAACTGGATGCAGTATTCCAGGTGTGGTCTTACTAAGGATTTATAAAGCGGTACTAATACTTCAGATGCTTTTGATTCTATGCCTCTGTTTATACAACCAAGGATTGTATTAGCTTTTTTGGCTGCTGTTTCACACTGCTGACTCACGTTTAAGTGATCGTCCACTAGGACTCCAAGGTCCCTCTCACAGTTACTGTTTTTGAGCCAGGTTTCACCTAATCTGTACTTGTATCTTTGGTTTTTCCTGTTCAGGTGTAAAACCTTGCTTTTCTCCACATTAAATTTCAGTTTGTTGGATAGGGCCCATTGTTCAAGTCTGTCAAGATCTTTTTGGATCCTGAGCTTGTCTTCTGGGATGTTGGCTATTCCTGCCAGCTTAGTGTCATCTGCAAATTTGATGAGTTCCCCTTCTATCCTTTCATCTAAGTAATTTATGAAGATATTGAAGAGTATTGGGCCTAAGAGTACTGGATCCTTGTGGTACCCCATTGCTTACTTCTCTCCATGTAGATGTAGTACCATTGAGGATTACTCGTTGAGTACAGTTTGTCAGCCAGTTACAAATCCATCTGATGGTGATGCAGCCTATCCCACATTTTCCTAGCTTACCAAGAAGTAGGTTATGGTCTACTTTGTCAAATGCCTCACTGAAGTCTAAATATACCATGCCCACAGTATTTGGTTGGTCTACTAATTTAGTCACTTTGTCAAAGAATGAAATAAGATTGGTTTGGCATCTCCTACTTTGTAACTGGGATTTATATCCTTTCCATCACTCTCTATTTCATTATGTTTTTCTTTTTTTATTTCTGTTTTCTCTTTCCTCCTTTCCTCCTTATGTGATTGGTTATCTAGTGATTTTTGCTTGGAATTAGGTTCTATTGGTCATGAAGATTGCCCCGCCCCTCAATTTTAAAGCCCTTTTGATAAAATGAGCCAGTCATTTTCCAAATATATTGTTTCCAGTTCTTGTGAGGTGCAATCCATCACTTGCTAGTAGCCCTTTATCTTCTAGATAATGCAGACCATAGTCTAGGAAGCCTACGTTCTGTTGACGACACCAGTTTTTAAGCCAGTGGTTTGTTTCTAAAATACTTTGCTCCCTCATTGGATGTTGACCTTTTGTTAGCAGTGTTAGAGTTTACAGCTTTGCAGTGCAAAAATAAGCCCCCAAAATAAGCACACATTCAAAATGAGCAGGAGGCATATTTTAGAAAAACTTTATCAATAAAATATATATAAACATGATACATACAGTTTCTTTCAGCACTGGGGAACATCAACAACTCTTAACTTGGAGATCAGAAAAAACATAGAGAAGACTAAGACACGCCCAGACCTAGGCTGGATCACATGCCTCACACAGCCAATACTGTGTCTTAATCAAAAACAATTCTCATTGGCTGGTTTGTTGCTATGGCTATTCCAGTTCATAAAATTTCTTATACAGTGACAGGAAGTATAGATGAAAACACCACTTATGCTCCTAATTCTTTAACTTTCTTCCCTAGCTGTTCGAAATCTCTTGTTATTGTTTTCAGATTCATTGTTGTGTCATTGGTCCCCACATGTAGGAGAAGAAAAGGGTAGTAATTTTTGGGGTTGATTATTTTAGTAAGTTACTGTTACATCTTTGATTTTTGCTCCATGGAGACTACATACCTCCTAAGATTGATTGCCTGGTCTGCAGACTATAATTATAAATATTTATAATATTGTTTCCTAATGCACCCTCATTTTCATTTTCTTACTAGTTAAAAGAAGAAGAAAGAAGAAAAGGTGAGAGGAGATTACCCTCAATGATGGTACTCAGAAATTGTGGTAGGGGCCAGGTGACCTGTTGTCTACTTTACTAGAATATTGATGAATCCTCTTTAGGGGGATGATTCCCCTTGAAGAAAATGTTCCCCAGTAAATTGGTACAAATTATTGAAGTGCTGTGAGGGGGCATTGCTGCTGGTTCCTAATAGTTGTGAACCACCTATTTCTATTTAATTTTTACAGTTTTTCCTCTTCCCCTCTACTTCCCCTATGTCCCCTTCAAGGAGAGCTTTTTCAGATTCAATGATGCACTGTGGGATGGCCAAATATGATCATTAGTTAATATGACACTTTGTTTGCTCAGAGACCTGAAATCCTGCTGGGCAGAAACAAGCTATCCCACCGCAGGTATGTAAAATGTAACTGAAGTTCCAACTGCTTTTGACATATCAGAGCTGGGCAACCAGGGAGGTGAATTACCAGCAGAGAAAGCTAGAAGTCACCAATACTTAGCTTGGAACCAGTTCTTGTTAGCGTTCACAGGTGCCCTTTTCCAGGTTCCTAAAGAGGGTTCTGATATTTATTGACATGTCAAGGAAGTGCACCCTCTCAAGGAGCATAATGATATATATTTGGAAATATTGGACTATTTTTATTTTCATTATAATAGTTAGATTAGAAGTATTTGTGAAGAAACACATATGAAATGAGAAAGACTCAGCAGAGGCCGGCTATTTGGGTATTGGAAAGAAAGAACTGGTACTTTAATTTAAATTTAAAGAGAGCTTGCGCTATGTGTCCCATTCCCCACAATAGAAGAGGAAAATGACCAATATCTATCTGGTCATATCCCATCACCCAGCTCATTACATGAGGATGACAGTGGATCAATAACCTCAAAGGAAAGTTTTTGAAGCAAAAGAAATCCCCAGCAATGAGGCAGTTTCTCAGTAGAATTCAAGAAATTGATTCTAGGAGAAAACAGCAGCTTAATAACTTAGTTTTGGATAAAACTTTGTGGAATCATGTTTCCAGATTAGAAAGCAGAAGGTCTCCAGCAGTGCTCAAAAGTAACCCTCCTTCTGTCTAAACCTTGTCTCTCATGCCATGGTGACTTTTATCTTTTGTTTGCTGTCGTCTCACAGCCATAAAAAGATGCAAATTGGGTATGTTTAAAGAGAACCAGATGTATTCATTTATTGAGATAATGAAAAAGCATAATCTGTAAAAGCAGGGCTTTTTTTGTCATAGAACGCCCAGAACGGAGTTCTGGCACCTTTTTGGATGGAACTTTGTAGGGTAGGCAAGGTGGGTTGTATGACATGTGTGGGTTCTGGCACCTTTTTTTTTTTTTTTTTACAAAAAAAGCACTGTGTAAAAGTATGTAAAAAATCAGTAAAAGAAATTAATCTGATGTCATAATCAGCAATAATCCTACTGCTATGTAGATGTAGTAACATCCTTAAAAATAAATCTGTTTATATGACATTGCTTCTTCTCACAGAGACATCCTTTGACAACTATATGTTCATCATTTCAGAGGTAAGCTTTCAAAGATTCGGTGGGCAGGACATTTGTCACTTGACGAAGTGACACCTTAAGAAGTAACTTGTCACACCTAGAACTAAGGAGAAAATTCATAATAATTAGAGCAATCAGCCAATGGAATAGCTTGCCTTCAGAAGTTGTTGGAGCTCCATCACTGGAGGCTTTTAAAAAGAGACTGGACAACCATTGTCTGAAATGGTATAGGGTCTTCTGCTTGAGTGGGGGGGGGNTGTATGTATGTATGTATGTATGTATGTATGTCAGATTTTGTTATGTCTGGAGTTCATCCTCATGCTTTTATTCATCATCTAACCTTTTTGGTATCTTTCCCTTTCTCATCTTTAAATCTTTTTATCCCACAAGAAATCAAACCAGGAAATCAAACCAACAGTAGAAAACCCAGGTGCTTCGATCTCCTCAACCACTGGTCCAAGACAAGTATCCAGAATCTCCCTGGAAAAGCAAGATTTCTCCACGTTCAGAGAATCAAAATGAAATCCCAAATGAAAATATATCAGACAGCCTTAGTATAAAAGTATAAAAAGAATTATATAACTTCTGCACCAAAGGTTTTGCTCACTTTTTCAAAGAAAAGGGACAGAGAGGCACCTGCAACTGGTCACACTTAGCCCAAATATGGTTTACAATGTCATGATGGAAATTCTGCTGACAAATACAAAAGGAGTGGAGTTTGCATTGGAATTTTGTGATGCATGTTTCATTGTTTATCTCCTATGGACTGACATAGTGGGACATTCAGAATATGTTTCTTAATTTAAAGCAATAAAGGTCTGTGACATCTTAAAAACTAACATGTTTATTAAGGCATGAGCTCTAAAACTCACCTCATGAAATGCATGACTATCCTTATTCATAGGTAAAGAGAAAATGATAAACAGGCAAGATCATAATATGTTCAACTAGAACAAATTAAAATGTTAAATGTAAGAAACTGCTGGTTTAAAATATACCATGAGAGTTAATTCAATTAAATCAGACTTTATTCTAGTTTGTGGGATTTTAAATAAATAAATACTGAATTTATTGCTTCTATGGTTGAATAATTCCTATAGTTTCCTGTAAATAATTAGCTCCCAATGAAAATGAAATTGTTAATTCTTATATTTCAGAAATCTTTGCCTCCAAGTTTGTTTTATTTCCTAGACGTAGACGATATTCCAGGGGGTGCAAAAATTTGGGTTTTCAAAATTATAGTGTATATGCACAATTCGTTGCCATTATTTTGAACTTTTTTAAGGGGTGCAAGAATATATCAGAAGCGTTCTAGGGGTGCGGGGTATAGAAAAGGTTGGGAGCCACTGTCCTCGACCATTTTTTCTAAGATTCCCATATTGGAGTACATGAGAATCCAATTTGAAGAAGTGATGCAAATCATATTTTGTTAGTTGAATGAGCCACATTGAATGAGTCCACACAATATCCTAAATCAAAATCCTATAAGCTATGTTATTACTTGGTATGGTATGTGAACACTGGCATGGAGTGTTCTCATCTTGTGTCAGCAGGTGGCCTTAAATAAATCTTCTGCTCTCAGAAACTGAAATCTGCAGTCATTTGCATCTGTACATCTGCCTGGAGAGATAAGCTGACTTATTGGTCCAGATGGTTCTATGGTCCAGATAGATTATTTGCTTGAATATTTAAAAGCTAATCTATTTGCTGTCTTCCACTGAAAACACAAGAAAAAATGGTTTATTGTAATATTTTAACCCAATTCAACAATGCTCGTCCACTCCTACATTCCTCTGTTGAACAGTTTGTTAATTTGTGGCAAAGATGTTTAGATATACCTGCTGTTTCTTCCATGTCTTCTAAAGATTAAATATGGAACTCATTTTTTGTTGGTGGTGGTTGGTTTTCCGACCTTGTTGTTTGGCTTCTGAATGTTTTATCACCAGGCTAGGTAACATCATCAGCGGAACTTTGATTGAAGCGTCCTTTTTCAGCTCTCCTCTGCTTTTATATGATCTTGTGTGGTTTATGTTATCAATTGGCTGTGTGTGTCAGGACCCACCTCAACACCTCATCTCAAGAAAGTAGAACTCATGGAAGCAAGCTCTTCCAAAAGGAACTTTTATTAGGAGAAGCTGATGGCAGGCATACTAGATAGGATCTGAGGGACTCCTGTACAAATCGATGGGTTAAAGTATCCCCAAGAAAACCCCACCCCATAGTTCATCTGGACAGTTCAAACCGGCTAATCCCCAGGTGTTAGGTCCATCGTGGGAAAGGGGAGATAACATCGGTCCTGCTCTGGTCGTAGTGCGATGTTCAAGCAGCTCTTCGCACCTTCTCTTGAGAGCGGAGAAATAAGCCAGGCTCCGGAGGTTGTATTTCTTTCTCCCCTCCTTTTCCTAGCTGACAGGTTAGGGAGAAGAAAGTTCAGAGAGAGATACAGTGCAGGGGCGCGAGTGTTACATTGTGGCAATAAAGGAAGCTAAGGTGAAATGTGACACTGTAGAAATAAGGAAAGGAGGCAGGGAAGCAAAACACTACATTATATCAATAGAGGAAACTAAGGCAATAAACCCGTGCTCTGTCCCCCCTCCCCTCTAGGACTATGTCAGAACCCAGGGTGAGAAGAGAATGGAATTGGGAGATGAGAGAAAGAGAGGTAGGGAAGTATGCAATATGATAGATATGGGTTCTGACAGTGTGGTCGCCAGGTCACATGATGTGAAGATCACTTGGGGGAAGTCATACTGGTTGGAGATCATGTGAGATCACGTTAATGTTATCACCAACTAGAAACAAATTTCCTTATGTTTACCTGGACACTAAATTTAACCACAGTGTAACTTTAATATACCCTATTACTCATGCAAATATTTATTCTATCTCCAACTCTTACAGTCCAACTGTGAGGGCAACCTAGAAGTATCAATAAACCTAAAAATACCCAAAGTTTAATCCTCACACTGACCACTAGATCAGAGTTCCCCAACCTTTCGGGGTTGGCGGCCCGGAGCAGGGGAAGGGGGGAAAGGACGGTTTTGTGAGGGGGATGAACACATGTGCGTGCATGTGCACAAACACCCATTGCTTGCGCGAGTGGGGCCATGAATATCTGTGATGCTTGCGGTGATGCTTGTGCGAGTGGGGCTGTGAATACCCATGACGCTCATGTGATTGGGGCCGTGAACTCCCGCAACACTCACGGTGATGCTTATGTGGGTGGCGCTGTGTGCATCCATGTACACACTAGCCAGCCACTCACCTGACCCAGTGGCCAATAGGCCGCAGCCCAGTAGTGGGCTGCCGCTCACAGATTGGGGAAACCTGCACTAGAGGCAACTCTTGGATCATTGTAGGGAATGTTGAACATTCTTGATGTTATTTCTAGTAAAATAACCAATAAAATAACTAGATATTATTGGCACCTAATTTCTGCCTCTAAAATTACAATCTTCTAGGCCTGAATTTTGTTTTTATGAGACACTTTCTTAAACTGTTTTATTTTGAAGCTTGTAAATTTTCACCTAAAGTGAATTTATTTTGGCAGGATATTCAGATAGCTTATAGATTGCAACACAATTAGTAATTCAGAATTACCTCAGAGGAGCAATATCTGGAATTAAACAGTGTAAGCAGCAGAAAGTAAATCACTGGAGATATTTCAGTATTGTGCTTTCAGTAATGTTGGCAATTGCCCCAGATAAATCTGCTTCATGTTTGCTTCACTTGGTTTTTTTTCCTTGAAAGCATCAGAGACTATGTGGGGGGGAGTTGAAGAAAATTGGTTTATATGCTGGTGAAGAAGTTATTCTTTCTGCAAACTTCAAAATTTAATCCATTATGGCACAGATCAGATTTTACTTGCCAATTAATAAACTAGGCAGACCAATACAGTTTTCATTTTTTATTTATCTATCACATTTAGAAACCAGCTATCTCACTCACAGAGTAATATAATAGAGTTCAACATAAGATTTTCTTTATTTATATTCTACCTTCATTATTTTTATAAATAACTCAAAGCACTGAGCATACTTTTAAAAAAATATTTATTTTTTAACATAAACTTGATATTTGGTAAACAGCGTGTTGTTTGGGTTTATGTTTACAAAGTAATCATTAACAGTTAGTTTCTATATTCCAAAGTTCACATGATAGCTTTGCTTGATTTTCTCTTCTTCCAATAATATTCTCCTTGCAACATTAAATTAATACAATTCTTATTAATTTGATAGGTAACAATTAAATATAAAGATTTTTCTAAAATTTCTACCAATAATAATCACATCAATATCATGCTTCTTTTCTCGGTCATCTCGGTTGCCTCGTCATGAATCCTGTTTACTATTTTCCCTACAATATTCAAAACATTTCTACTGGTTAAAATTTTTCCCAGAGTTAATTACCTTTAAGTATTTAAATCTATTTTCATGTCTTAAAAAGTAAGTAAGAAAAAGACATAAAAGAAAAACATAGAAAAAGAAAAGACTGAGAGAGAGAAAAAGAAAAAAAGGGAGAAAAAAATAAGAAAATAATATACTACTTAAAATACATATCCCTCTTGAACTAGTATATACTTACAGTATTTCCAAATTTTTTCTGTTCTTTTTACCCATAATTAAACCTATGTTTAATCTTTAAATGTTCCATTTAATAAATCCAATCATCTAATCTTTTAACTCTATTCAAAACATTTTTCCCTTTTTAGGTGTCCATTGGAATTTTCTTAAAATCAATTACATTTGAATATCTAAAACATTTCCTTTATATTGATCATCTCAAACATTTTTATATTTGTCATGTCAAAAAACAAAATAAAAAAAGAGAAAAGAAAAAATACTTTTACTTGGAGGGTTCATCCCTCTTAAACTAAAATCTATTTCTTCAGCCATATTCAAACAAATGTTTAATTTTTAAATATTCCCTCTGATACACCCCATCATCTAATTCCTCAGTTCTTACTTTAGCCCTCTTCTTTTGCCAAGCATCTTTCCCAATCAATATATTCTGTTGAATCAAAAAGTCTTTCCATAATCTTGCAAATGTCATTGTCGATATAATAGGCCCGTGGTGGCGAACCTATGGCACGCTGCTCCCTCCTCCTCTCTGCGCATGCACAGTCTGGGAATAGGCGAGAGGCTATAAAGGGAGCAACTTTCAGCAGAAGCAGCATCTGCTGCAGACAGCAAGAGAGTGAGTCAGAGCAGTGAGTGAACTGACAGCGGTAAGTTTCAGCGGCCGGCCATGCAGGGGAGGAGGAGGGGCGGCCGGTGACGGGGGGCCCTTGCCTTGGCCTTGAGGGCAATGGCAGCAGAGTGGTAAGGGCGGCAGGGGGGTGCCTTGCCTTACCTCGGCCTCGTTCAGTGATGGCAGCAAGCAGAGGGGTAATGGCGGCTGGGAGAGGGTGGGGCTGCTTCGCCTCGGCCTCGTGTGCGGCAGTGGCGGCAGGAGTGGTAATGGCAGCTGGGGGAGGGTGGAGTTGCCTCGCCTCGGCCTCGTAGGGCTATAGCGGCAGCGAAAAGCGCAGGGGGCGGGGGTGGCGTACCTACCTACGGCGATGGCTTCCCTGCTCCGGGGACCTCTCCTTTCGCGGCCTCCATCTGGGGGCCGGCACGCCACCCGGCTGAAGCTGGGGACAATGGCTAACCCTGCCCTCGGCCGGTCTGTGATCCCACCTGCCGGGCGGGGAATCGGCAGACCACTTTCCGTGCCGGGGAGGGGCTGGACTGGCGCAGGCAGCTGCATTCCGTTTCTTCATTCACTTCTCAGCCTTTGCCACGTGTTTGTGGGACAAAAAAAAAAGTTCCATGAGACTTTCTAACTTCTCGCGAGATCTCGCAAGAAATTAGAAAATCTCATGGAACTTTTTTTTTTACCGATAGTCCCACAAACATATGGCAAAGGCTGAGAAGTGAATGGAGAAATGGAAGGCAGCTACCCGTGCCCAGTCCAGCCCAGCCCCACCCCAGCACAGAAAGCGATCCTTTGATTCCCCGCCTAGCAGGTGGGATCACAGACCGGCCGAGGGTAGGGAAGCCATTGTCCTCAGCTTCAGCCGGGTGGCATGCTGGCCACTGGGCAGAGGCCATGAAAGGAGAGGACCCTGGAGCAGGGAAGCCGTCATCGCAGGTAGGCTGCCCCCTGCCCCCATCTGGGTGGGGGCAGGGGCAGCAACCTTACCCTGCATGGTGGCAGGAGGGTTAATGGCAGGTGCGGGAGGGCCAGGAGGAGCTGCGCAAAGCAGGCAGAGGGGAGGATGGGCAGCTTGTGGGTGCTGGCAGCGGCCCGCTTGCACCTCCGGCCTCTGGCCCCGGGCAGCACTTCTGCTGTGCACGGCTGTCCCTCTCGCCCATGCAATCGCTCTCTGCGCTGTCGCTGCAGAAGTCAGGCAACGGGGGCATGTACCGGGGCAGCTTGGGCGAGAAGGTGAGCTTCATAGGGCTGGACCCCGGCACCCCCGAGTCCTCCCATGACGGGGACCTGCTGATTGAGGGGGGCAGCGGCGGCAGCAAACGCAGCTTGATCCTCAGCAAGCCCTGTTTGCCCACTTCCTGCCCAATGCCGCTGCCATGACGTCACGGAGCAAGCTGGGTGGAAGTAAGGAACCGGGTCGGAGCGGCGGGAGAAGGGTCCTTTGCGAGGTTTGGGTCCTGTGCACATGGGGCTGCTGCCTCGCTTTTCGTGCTGGGGCTGGGCTGGACTGGGTGCAGAGCCTCCTTGCTGCTTCCCCCATGGACATCGGGAGCGCCCACCCTACCTACCGCTCGTCCTGGGGCACCTGCCACAATCCTGCGCTCTCCAGCCCGTCGCTGCCCAGCCGGGCCCACCGAGCTTGGGCATTGGCAGATGGAGGCTGGAGGGGAGCAAGAGCTGTGGCTGCCCAGCTCCTCCGCCTGAATATGCATGCAGGGAGAGGCGCGCCTGGCTTGGTAAGCCGCGGTCCACCTGCAGAAGGAGCAGAAGGATGGAGGAGAAGGGCTGGCCGGGAACGGGCGCAGGGCTGCTCACGGGGGTATCTGACCAGCCCCAGCCTCGAGGGGGGAGAGGCCGAGGGAGCCCAAATGGAGGCATCCCGGCATGCCCGACTGGCTGGCGACAGGCTGGAGAGCGCAGGACAGCGGCAGCTGCCCCAGGACGAGCAGTAGGTGGGGTGGGTGCTCCCAATGTACATGGGGGAAGAAGCCACAAGGAGGCTCTGTGCCCAGTCCAGCCCAGTCCCGGCACGTCACGGAAAGCGAGACAGCAGCCCTATGTGCATCCCCATGCACGAGTGCACTCCTGCCCTGCCAGGCAAGCAGAGCTGTGGTATCTTCAGCAGAAGAACGCAGGCGGGCAGTGGAAGGCACGAGGATCCCCGATCCCAGCACAGCCCACCTCCCCCCCTCGGAAGAGCTGCGGGGCTCAGGAGCCTCCCCCCATGCCCCCACCCACTGAGCAAGATGCCCTCCTGCCCACTGCCCCACCCACCAGAACAACATCAAGTTGCCCACGCCAGCCCTGGCCATGCCCATTCAGGCTGCCATTTCCACCATAGCCATGCCTACCTGGCATCCGGCGATACAAAATTGGGTTTTGGGTTGCAGTTTGGGCACTCGGTCTCTAAAAGGTTCGCCACCACTGTATAATAGGCAACTCCAACATCATGTCTTTGTAAAAAGATTTTGCCCCTTCATATTCATTGAAGATTTCTCTCATCATCCCTTGTCTCCCAATTTCTTGTGGTACTCCCAACAGCTCAGCTTAGAGTACAAGTTATCTTTTCCATGTTCAATGTTTCTTGTAAGTCCTTCTCCACTTGAGTCTCCACTAGTTTATATTCAGTTGTCTGATTTACATGATCTATCTCTTTTTTTGTTTTCTGATCATTTAATTGTTGTGACATTAAATTGAGAATGCATTCATTTAAATTTTCAAATTCATTTTCCTCGTGGTTTGAAGTTAATATCATTTGCATTTGTTGTAACAGAACATACATTTCCTCCTGGTAAATATTTATTTTTTCTTGATATGTTCTTTCTGCAGATCTCTGATGCTCCATAATGACCAAAAACCCTTTCTCTGCCAATCACTTTAAAGTCACAATTTAAAAAATATTTATAATCCAGGAAGGTCAATTTTTTCTAATTTTTATAGTTCTCGCTTTGTAGATAGTCCACAATGTTTTCTTTTCTTTTGTTATAGCTGCTCTTTATTTAATCAAAGCCCTGAAGGTCATGACAACAGGCTTTTCTTTCTGGGCTGTATATTTAGGGCATTATTTTCATCCACCACTAGATGTCAACACCAGTCCATCTTTCAATTTTCTGTATTTTCCCCCCCATAAACTTAATTCACTGTTTCCATTTAGAGGAGGTGAAACGAAGACCCCCCCCCCCTCACTTTCGGAGGATTTTTACTTCTGGGGATTTTTTCTTTTTCTTTTTCAGGAAATCAGTCATATAGAAGAAAGAAAATCAATATTCTTACCCAGTACACTCAGGCTGTTTATAATCATGCTTAGTTTAGTGCTTTTTGGCTTCGGCTGCATGTAGCTTGGGCTAGAGTCATGGATGATGCTAGCTTTTCTTCTGTCAGTTTTTGGAGAGCTTTCCCCAGACGTCCGGATCAACCACCATCTCTCCAGGATCGGCAGGGCTTCCCTCCTTCCTTGCCACCTCTCCGGGGTGGCTTTGGGCCCATTTAGGGTCCCCAGAGAGAAATCAGCTGTAGGGGTCAGATCGTCTCGATCCCTCGGCTGTAGCGCTAGCTGCGCAAAACCGGAAACCTCAGCATTGAACATACTTAATACTGTGTCTTCTTCCTTCTTCCCACAACAACAACCTGTGAGGTGGCTTGGGCTGAGAGAGAGTGACTGGCCCAAAGTCACCCAGGTAGCTTTCATGCCTAAGACGGGACTAGAACTAGAAGTGGGAATCTGTAGGGCTAGCAGAACCCAAATCTCTTTCCAAAATTAAATTGTCCAATTCTTCAGCAAAGCAGTACTCTATTGAATCTGTCTAACTCCTTTCCAAAGAGCAAGAAGCTATGTGTTTAAGAAGTCCAGGGACATACTTTAGAATCCTTCAGGTAGGATAACAGCAGATGCTTCAGCAGAAGCTAAATAGTTGATCTCACCTGTAGTTGATCTCACCTGTAGCCAAACCAAAATGATCCATCAAAACCAAAATGATCCATCAAAATTATATTCAGTAGCTGAAAGAGAGAAGGAACAAGCATGCATCAACAAGACATGCCAGCCACTAACCATATAATCAATTACTGTATAATATTGATGAAGCATCATAGACCACATTCATAGCAAAAATTGTGTTGAAGAGAGAGGGAAATACTTTACAATTGGACAGGTAAAATTGACCTTAAGGTACTTATTTGGCTGAGGATAAGAAGACTATAATAACTCTATAAGAAGACTATAAGAAGACTATAAGACTATAAGAAGACTATAAGAACTCATCTGTTAAAAATGTATATTTGTGCCTATATTTAAGATATGAGGATAAGCCTGGAAGCCTTAAGAACCTTTTCACAAGTATGTTTAGGAAGCAGGTATCCTCTTTTTGGCTCTCCTCCTGTTCTGAGTTCCTTAATTAGTAGAATAGAATAGAGCTGGAAGGGACCTTGGAGGTATTCTACTCCAGCCCCCTGCTCAAGCAGGAGAACCTATACCATCTCAGACAAGTGATTGTCTAGCCCCGGGGTGGCAAACCTATGGCACGCATGCCACAGGTGGCACACAGAGCCCTCTCTGTGGGCATGGCCGCTATTTCCCCAGTCCTAGGCGTTCAGTCCCGTCCATGAGCAACCTACATCAATACCCGTGCAAGGTAAAGTTGCCGCCCCCGCCTCCCCAAGTGTTTTTTTTACTAACCTGCCTTTCGGCTGAATTCCGTTTCCCCGTTTGCTTCTCAGCCTTCATCGTGCGTTTGTGGGACTATCGGTAAAAAAAAAAAGTTCCATCAGATTTTCTAACTTCTTCTTTTTTTTTTCCCCAAATTTTATTTATAAAACAATTAAAAAAAAACATTGGATTTGACGTGACATTCCAGTATATACATTCTTATCAGATTATACCATATTTTACAATCAATTCATTATCTCTACATATACATTAAATTTTATATACATTATATATTCTAAAGTAACATACATTTCTATCTTAACATTCGTCTTTAATCCCAGCCATCCTTTTCAAATTCCTCCAACGGTAAAATTTGTCCCAGGTTTCAAAAAAAATTGATCCACATTTATCTTTTAGTATCATTGTGAGCCTGTCCATTTCTGCACATGCTAATATTTTATGTATTAACTCTTCCTCTGTGGGAATTTCCTTACTCTTCCATTTTCGCGCAAAGGCAAGCCTGGCTGCTGTCAAGATATGTAGCAGCAGGTAGATTGTTCCCTTATCATATTTTTCTGTCGTTATTCCCAGCAAGAAGAGTTCAGGTTTTAACTCTAAGTCCAGTGTTAGTATATCCCTCAGCCATTTTCGTGTCCTGTTCCAGTACTCGCGAGTCTTTGGGCATTCCCACCACATATGGTAATATGATCCTATTGCCGTTTTACATTTCCAGCATAGGGGTGAGATGTTCGAACACATTTTAGCTAACCTTATGGGTGGGAAATGCCATCTGTAAAACATCTTGTAGAGATTTTCCTTATATGAGGTAGCTAAGGTGAGTTTCCTATTTCTTTCCCACAGTTCTTGCCAAATATGTAGGTCAATACTAAAACCAAAATCCCTACTCCAAGTTAACATGGTCTCCTTAACCTGTTCTTCATACATTGTCTGTTCTAAAAGAAAATGATATATT